AAATGAAACACCGAGAACATGTAGGTTTGGTCGAAGTTAACGCTCATTACGTACCGCACGGGCATTTGTTTCACTGTTCCAACTACTGCGCTTACCCCCTTAAAATTGTAATACAAACCAATAATATTGATTTGAAACTATGATCATTTGTTAAACAAATTTTATTCTTAGTTGAATATAATTCTGAAATGTTCATTTGGCAAGGTCAAATTATGAGATTCGCAATCTTAATTTCACTTTATTTGATTACTTTTTTGTTAAAAGTGAAATTCATCTGTACGTTTTCACTGCAAACAGACTATAGACGCGGGACATTTAAGGGTCTTAACCAGTGGGCTAAAAATAAATGAAACAGATGGAAAACAAATACATTTTTTGTCATTCTTAGAATATAAAGTGTTATAGTAAACTCGTATCTCGACCAGAAGTGAGGTATAAGTCAGATATACCTACACTTCCTCGGGTGTGTCGCTCGATACCCCTACTGTTTGAGTCGTGTGGTCTCCTCGGCTCGCGCCTCAGAGGCCACACGACTCAAACAGTAGGAGTATTGAGCGACACACCTCGGAAAGTGTGGGTATATCTAATACCTGTACTGTTGTTGACCACAGGTCTACATGCTTTAACTGTACTGCTGTTGACTACAGGTCTACACACTTTAACTGTACTGCTGTTGACTACAGGTCTATACACTTTAACTGTACTGTTGTTGAGCTCAGGTCTACACGCTTTAACTGTACTGCTGTTGACTACAGGTCTACACACTTTAACTGTACTGCTGTTGAGCACAGGTCTATATGCTTTAACTGTACTGCTGTTGACTACAGGTCTACACACTTTAACTGTACTGCTATTGACTACAGGTCTATATGCTTTAACTGTACTGCTGTTGAGTAGAGGTCTACTCGATTTAACTGTACTGTTGTTGAGCATAGGTGTTAATGCTTTCACTGAACTGCTGTTGAGCAAAGATGTAAATGCTTTAAATGTAGTACAGTTGACTACAGGTCTACATGCTTTAACTATAGTACAGTTGACTACAGGACGACATGTCTTAACTGTACTGCTGTTGAGCACAGGTCTACATGCTTTAACTGTACGGTTGTTGAGTACAGGTCTACATGCTTTAACTATAGTACAGTTGACTACAGGACCAAATGTCTTAACTGTACTGCTGTTGAGCACAGATCTACATGCTTTAACTGTCCTGTTGTTGAGCATAGGTCTACATGCCTTAACTGTACTGTTGTTGAGTACAGGTCTACATGCTTTAACTATAGTACAGTTGACTACAGGACCACATGTCTTAACTGTACTGCTGTTGAGCACAGGTCCACATGCTTTAACTGTACTGTTGTTGAGCATAGGTCTACATGCCTTAACTGTACTGTTGTTGAGTACAGGTCTACATGCTTTAACTATAGTACAGTTGACTACAGGACCACATGTCTTAACTGTACTGCTGTTGAGCACAGATCCACATGCTTTAACTGTACTGTTGTTGAGCATAGGTCTACATGCCTTAACTGTACGGTTGTTGAGTACAGGTCTACATGCTTTAACTATAGTACAGTTGACTACAGGACCACATGTCTTAACTGTACTGTTGTTGAGCATAGGTCTACATGCCTTAACTGTACTGTTGTTGAGTACAGGTCTACATGCTTTAACTATAGTACAGTTGACTACAGGACCACATGTCTTAACTGTACTGCTGTTGAGCACAGGTCTGCATGCTTTAAGTGTACTACTGTTGAGCATAGGTCTACATGCTTTAACTGTACTGTTGTTGAGCACAGGTCTACATGCTTGAACTGTACTGTTGTTGAGTACAGGTTTACATGCTTTAACTGTACTGCTGTTGAATACAGGTTTACATGCTTTAACTATAGTACAGTTGACTACAGGACGACATGTCTTAACTGTACTGCTGTTGAGCACAGGTCTACATGCTTTAACTGTACGGTTGTTGAGTACAGGTCTACATGCTTTAACTATAGTACAGTTGACTACAGGACCAAATGTCTTAACTGTACTGCTGTTGAGCACAGATCTACATGCTTTAACTGTCCTGTTGTTGAGCATAGGTCTACATGCCTTAACTGTACTGTTGTTGAGTACAGGTCTACATGCTTTAACTATAGTACAGTTGACTACAGGACCACATGTCTTAACTGTACTGCTGTTGAGCACAGATCCACATGCTTTAACTGTACTGTTGTTGAGCATAGGTCTACATGCCTTAACTGTACTGTTGTTGAGTACAGGTCTACATGCTTTAACTATAGTACAGTTGACTACAGGACCACATGTCTTAACGGTACTGCTGTTGAGCACAGATCCACATGCTTTAACTGTACTGTTGTTGAGCATAGGTCTACATGCCTTAACTGTACGGTTGTTGAGTACAGGTCTACATGCTTTAACTATAGTACAGTTGACTACAGGACCACATGTCTTAACTGTACTGTTGTTGAGCATAGGTCTACATGCCTTAACTGTACTGCTGTTGAGCACAGGTCTGCATGCTTTAAGTGTACTACTGTTGAGCATAGGTCTACATGCTTTAACTGTACTGTTGTTGAGCACAGGTCTACATGCTTGAACTGTACTGTTGTTGAGTACAGGTTTACATGCTTTAACTGTACTGCTGTTGACTACAGGTTTACATGCTTTAACTATAGTACAGTTGACTACAGGACCACATGTCTTAACTGTACTGCTGTTGAGCACAGGTCTACATGCTTGAACTGTACTGCTGTTGGGCACAGGTCTACATGCTTTAACTGTATTGCTGTTGAGCACAGGTCTACATGCTTTAACTATAGTACAGTTGACTACAGGACCACATGTCTTAACTGTACTGCTGTTGAGCACAGATCTACATGCTTTAACTGTACTGTTGTTGAGCATAGGTCTACATGCTTTAACTGTACTGTTGTTGAGTACAGGTCTACATGCTTTAACTATAGTACAGTTGACTACAGGACCACATGTCTTAACTGTACTGCTGTTGAGCACACGTCTGCATGCTTTAACTGTACTACTGTTGAGCATAGGTCTACATGCTTTAACTGTGCTGTTGTTGAGCATTGGTCTACATGCTTTAACTGTACTGTTGTTGAGTACAGGTCTACTCGATTTAACTGTACTGCTGTTAAGCAAAGATGTAAATGCTTTAACTGTACTGCTGTTAAGCAAAGATGTAAATGCTTTAAATGTAGTACAGTTGACTACAGGTCTACATGCTTTAACTATAGTACAGCTGACTACAGGACGACATGTCTTAACTGTACTGTTGTTGAGCACAGGTCTACATGCTTTAACTGTACGGTTGTTGAGTACAGGTCTACATGCTTTAACTATAGTACAGTTGACTACAGGACCAAATGTCTTAACTGTACTGCTGTTGAGCACAGATCTACATGCTTTAACTGTACTGTTGTTGAGCATAGGTCTACATGCTTTAACTGTACTGTTGTTGAGTACAGGTCTACATGCTTTAACTATAGTACAGTTGACTACAGGACCAAATGACTTAACTGTATTGTTGTTCAGCATAGGTCTGCATGCTTTAACTGTACTGTTGTTGAGCATAGGTCTACATGCTTTAACTGCACTGCTGTTGGGCACAGGAGCACACACTTTAACTGTACCGCTGTTGAGCACAGGTCTGCATGCTTTAACTGTTCTACTGTTGAGCATAGGTCTACATGCTTTAACTGTACTGTTGTTGAGCATTGGTCTACATGCTTTAACTGTACGGTTGTTGAGTACAGGTTTACATGCTTTAACTATGGTACAGTTGACTACAGGATCTCATGTCTTAACTGTACTGCTGTTGAGCACAGGTCTACATGCTTTAACTGTACTGCTGTTGAGCATAGGTCTACATGCTTTAACTGCACTGCTGTTGGGCACAGGAGCACACACTTTAACTGTACTGCTGTTGAGTACAGGTCTCAATGCTTTAACTGTACTGATGTTGAGCACAGGTCTACATGCTTTAACTGTACTGCTGTTGAGCACAGGTCTACATGCTTTAACTGTACTGCCGGTGAGTACAGGTCTACATGCTTTAACCGTACTGCTGTTGGGCACAGGAGCACACACTTTAACTGCACTGCTGTTGAGCACAGGACCACACACTTTGACTGCACTGCTGTTGAGTACAGGTCCACACACTTTAACTGTTGTATTGTTGAGTACAGGTCTACACGGCTTAACTGTATTGCTGTTGAGCACAGGTCTACACGATTTAACTGTATTGCTGTTGAGCACAGGTCTACACGATTTAACTGTACTACTGTTGAGCACAGGTCTACACGATTTAACTGTACTGCTGTTGAGCAAAGGTCTATATGCTTTAACTGTACTGCTGTTGAGTACAGATGTACATGCTTTAAGTGTACTGCTGTTGAGTACAGATGTACATGCTTTAACTGTACTGCTGTTGAGTACAGATGTACATGCTTTAACTGTACTGTTGTTGAGCAAAGGTCTACATGCTTTAACTGTACTGCTGTTGAGTACAGATGCACATGCTTTAAGTGTACTGCTGTTGAGTACAGATGTACATGCTTTAACTGTACTGCTGTTGAGTACAGATGTACATGCTTTAACTGTACTGTTGTTGAGTACAGGTCTACATGATTTAACTGTACTGCTGTTGAGTACAGATGTAAATGCTTTAACTGTACTGTTGTTGAGTACAGGTCTACATGATTTAACTGTACTGCTGTTGAGTACAGATGTACATGCTTTAACTGTACTGCTGTTGAGTACAGATGTACATGCTTAAACTGTACTGCTGTTGAGTACAGGTCAACATGCTTTAACTGTACTAATGTTGGTAACATTTCGACTTGCTTTAGGTGTACTTACGTTTTAAACAGTCCTTAGAGCTAGAACTGAACTTCTGTTTACTTAATGTCAATTGTGTAGATTGTTTCTGTTCGTAACCTTGGCTTCTGTAAATGTATACACCATTGCCTTCCCAGGGATCCAAACCGAGGTCCAGGTGAGGTGTCGTTGGGGCTCTGGCCAGAATATACCGAAAAGCAGCGGTATCTTGAACTCAACCTCAACCTGCTGAAGTTGGATGCAGCGATGAACGTCCGGTCTGGACCAAGGACCGAACAATGCGCATTCTGGAAACACTACCTACCTCGTCTTGTCGCTGGAACAGGTAACAATTGGGTCAACTCATCTCCCCACCACGCTGCTTTCGTCAAAATCATCCTGTGATATGAACACGGACAAGTCTGAATCATTATGATTATCCCACATGTACTTAAAATCGCTTCAGGCTCTTTCGCTTGTACCCATCCTCCTCCTTGTACATAAATCGCAACATAGAGCATCCCTTCTTCTCTTCCGCTAACTTTCACGTCTTATTCCGATCGCTCACATGGGGCGAGTAAAGTAACATTTCTGATTGTGCTTAATAGACTATATTGGCTTTCTGATGCGGTCTCTTTAGTCAGCACTCGTTAGAAAACATCATATTTATCCACAAATGCCAATACATAGTCCCTTTGAAGAATAACCAGAGATGTGGATGGTGTGCAGGGACACACCCTTCTAATTAGCCCTTTTATCTCGTACTCACGTCACAAACTGGACAGTCTGGATTACAGTCCACATCTTCCTTTCTCCTAGTACTGTCTTTTTGTGATAGCCTCACACTGTTTAATAACTATGCCATACTTATGGACCTGTACTGACACAACTCATACTTGACATATAGCATTGCCATTATCACCTGTCCCAGAATCAAAGCATTGTGCATTTATATACCACAGTTATCCAGGTATTAGTATCTCCTATGTGGATGACATAGCATTGCCATTATCACCTGTCCCAGAATCAAAGCATTGTGCATTTATATACCACAGTTATCCAGGTATTAGTATCTCCTATGTGGATGACATAGCATTGCCATTATCACCTGTCCCAGAATCAAAGTATTGTGCATTTATATACCACAGTTATCCAGGTATTAGTATCTCCTATGTGGATGACATAGCATTGCCATTATCACCTGTCCCAGAATCAAAGCATTGTGCATTTATATACCACAGTTATCCAGGTATTAGTATCTCCTATGTGGATGACATAGCATTGCCATTATCACCTGTCCCAGAATCAAAGTATTGTGCATTTATATACCACAGTTATCCAGGTATTAGTATCTCCTATGTGGATGACATAGCATTGCCATTATCACCTGTCCCAGAATCAAAGTATTGTGCATTTATATACCACAGTTATCCAGGTATTAGTATCTCCTATGTGGATGACATAGCATTGCCATTATCACCTGTCCCAGAATCAAAGCATTGTGCATTTATATACCACAGTTATCCAGGTATTAGTATCTCCTATGTGGATGACATAGCATTGCCATTATCACCTGTCCCAGAATCAAAGTATTGTGCATTTATATACCACAGTTATCCAGGTATTAGTATCTCCTATGTGGATGACATAGCATTGCCATTATCACCTGTCCCAGAATCAAAGTATTGTGCATTTATATACCACAGTTATCCAGGTATTAGTATCTCCTATGTGGATGACATAGCATTGCCATTATCACCTGTCCCAGAATCAAAGCATTGTGCATTTATATACCACAGTTATCCAGGTATTAGTATCTCCTATGTGGATGACATAGCATTGCCATTATCACCTGTCCCAGAATCAAAGCATTGTGCATTTATATACCACAGTTATCCAGGTATTAGTATCTCCTATGTGGATGACATAGCATTGTCATTAAGCATTGACTCATTATGCATGACAGGTGCGGTGGGGTAGCCTAGTTGTGAAGGCGTTAGCTTGCCACGGGGAAGACCCGGGTTCGATTCCCCACATGGGCACGTGTACAATGTGTGATGCCGTGATATTGCTGGAATATTGCTAAAAGCGGCGTAAAACTAAACTCATTCACTCACCATTATGTCATTATGCATAACATATTATTGTCATTAACCTTGCCTCATTATGTATGACATAGTACTGTCATTAACCCTGGGCTCATTATCTATGACATGGCATTGTCATTAACCATTTACTCATTATGTATGATATAACATTGCTTAGTATGTATGGCTACGAATTGTCATAACCCCTGAATCTTCATATATGACATAGCACTGCCATTAACCCGTGCCTCATAACATATGACATAGTATTGTCATTAACCCTTGCCTCATAATGCATGACATAGCATTGTCATTAACCCTTGCCTCATTATGTATGACATAGCATTGTCATTAACCCGTGCCTCATTATGTATGACATAGTATTGGCATAAACTGTTGCCTCATTATGTATGACATAGTATTGTCATTAACCCTTGCCTCATTATGTATGACATAGCATTGTCATTAACCCGTGCCTCATTATGTATGACATAGTATTGGCATAAACTGTTGCCTCATTATGTATGACATAGCATTGTCATTAACCCGTGACTCATTATGTATGACAGGGCATTGTCATTAACCCTTGACTTATTATGTATGACATGTCATTGTCATTAACCCTTGACTCATTATGTATGACATGGCATTGTCATGCTTGTTACCTCCGCGACACATGGACGAAACATGCTTGTTACCTCCGCGACACATTATCCGTGCCTCATTATGTATTGCTTAGTATGTATGGCTAAGAATTGTCATAACGTATAACCCCTGCCTCTTTATATATGACCTACCATTGCCATTAACCAATGCTTTATTATATATGACATAGTATTGTCATTAACCCGTCTCATTATGTATGACATGGCATTGCTTACTATGTATGGCTTAGAATTGGCATAACCCCTGCTTCAATATGTATGACATAACCTATATAATCATATATGACATAGTATCGTCATTAACCCCTGCCTTAGTATGTATGACATAGCATTGACATTCACCCTTGCCTCTTTATATATGACATAACATTGCCATCAACCATTGCCTCATTATGTGTGAAATAGCATTGCCATTAACAACTGCCTCATTATGTATGACATAGCATTGCCATTAACAACTGCCTCATTATGTATGAAATAGCATTGCCATTAACAACTGCCTCATTATGTATGAAATAGCATTGCCATTAACAACTGCCTCATTATGTGTGAAATAGCATTGCCATTAACAACTGCCTTGTTATGTATGAAATAGCATTGCCATTAATAACTGCCTCATTATGTATGACATAGCATTTCCATTAACTGCCTCATCATGTATGACATAGCATTGCCATTAACTGCCTCATCATGTATGACATAGCATTTCCATTAACAACTGCCTATTTATGTATGACATAGCATTGCCATTAACAACTGCCTCATTATGTATGACAGAGCATTGCCATTTATCCTTGCCCCTGTTTTACATGGAGACAGCTCGCATACTATAAATTAAGGTTAGTGTCAACATATCTGTTAAACGTCCGACAGCTACGTACCCAGACAAACAGAACATAAACGTTTTTAACGTGGGCACAAAGTATACATCATTGCACGTAACTTTGGTCCATATCATAATCCATGCCACATAAATTGTGTTTAATTGGCGTCTGTTGTGTTTCGCGTCATGTGTCCTGTCTGTGCCGCACCTGTCATTGATGAACGTCATCTCCCCGTGATATCAACGACAGGGTGCGTGCCCCCTCTTGCCACACAAATCACACAGAGCACACCGTGATACAAACAATCGTAGATGCTTATCAACTCGTGGTCACACATGCCTGATAACAACACTATTGTCAAGGCGTGTTTCATTGACCACACGTTCTTGTCAACTCTGCGACCATACACGCGCGTCATTTCCGTGTCACAACGACCTTAAACGCTAGTCAACTCAGTGTCACACTGACCACACTTGCATGTCAACTCCATGTTACAATGATGACACACACACATGTCAACTCCATGCTACAGCGATGAAACACGCATGTCAACTCCGTGTTACAGTGATGACACACACATGTCAACTCCATGTTACAGCGATGAAACACACATGACAACTCCATGTTACAGCGATGAAACACGCATGTCAATTCCGTGTTACAGTGATGAAACATGCATGTCAACTCCATGTTACAGCGATGAAACATGCATGTCAACTCCATGTTACAGCGATGACACACGCATGTCAGCTCTATGTTGCAGTGATGATTAAACACATGTCAACTCCGTGTTACAGTGATGACACACACATGTCAACTCCATGTTACAACGATGACACACGCATGTCAGCTCCATGTTGCAGTGATGATTAAACACATGGCAATTCCATGTTACAGTGATGACAGACGCATGACAACTCCATGTTACAGCGATGAAACACGCATGTCAGCTCCATGTTGCAGTGATGATTAAACACATGGCAATTCCATGTTACAGCGATGACACACGCATGACAACTCCATGTTACAGTGATGACACACGCATGTGAACTCCATCTTACAGCAATGACAGACGCATGACAACTCCATGTTACAGTGATGACACACACATATCAACCCTACGTTACAGCGATGACACGCATGTCAGCTCCATGTTGCAGTGATGATTAAACACATAGCAATTTCCATGTCACAGTGATGAAAGACGCATATCAATTCCATGTTACAGCGATGACACACGCATGACAACCCCATGTTACAATGATGACACGTGTGTGTCAACTCCATGTTACTGTGATGACACACGCATGTCAACTCCATGTTACTGTGATGACACACGCATGTCAAGTCCATGTTACAGCGATGACACACGCATGTCAACTCCATGTTACAGTGATGACAGACACATGACAACCCCATGTTACTGTGATGACACACGCATGTCAACTCCATCTTACAGTGATGACAGACGCATGACAACTCCATGTTACTGTGATGACACACGCATGTCAACTCCATCTTACAGCGATGACACATGCATGACAACTCCATGTCACAGTGATGACACACGCATGTCAACTCCATGTTACAGCGATGACACACGCATGACAACCCAATGTTACAGTGATGACAGACGCATGACAACTCCATGTTACTGTGATGACACACGCATGTCAACTCCATGTTACAACAATGACACACGCATGACAACTCCATGTTACAGCGATGTCACACGAGTTTCACCTCCATATCTCAGCGTCCACATGTGGGAGTCAACTCCGTGTCACACCTTCCTCATGTGGAAGTCAACTCCGTGTCACACCTTCCTCATGTGAAAGTCAACTCCGTGTCACACCGTCAACATGTGGGAGTCAAATCCGTATCACATGGACCACACATGCTTGTTACCTTCGTGACACATGGACCACACATGCTTGTTACCTCAACGACACATGGACCACACGTGCTTGGACCACACATGCTTGTTACCTCCGCAACACATGGACCACACATGCTTGTTACCTCTGCGCCGCATGGACCACACTTGCTTGTTACCTCCGCGCCACATGGACTACACATGCTTGTTACCTCCGCGCCACATGGACCACACATGCTTGTTACCTCCGCGCCATATGGACCACACATGCTTGTTACCTCCGCAACACGTTGGCCACACATGCTTGTTACCTCCGCGCCACATGGACCACACATGCTTGTTACCTCCGCGCCACATGGACCACACATGCTTGTTACCTCCGCGCCACATGGACCATACGTGCTTGTTACCTCCGGGACACATGGACCACACATGCTTCTAAATTCTGCGACACATGGACCACACATGCTTGTTACCTCCGCAACACGTTGGCCACACATGCTTGTTACCTCCGCGCCACATGGACCACACATGCTTGTTACCTCCGCGCCACATGGACCACACGTGCTTGTTACCTCCGCGCCACATGGACCACACATGATTGTTACCTCCGCGCCACTAGTCCTCCTTCCTTCGATTCACGTGCTCTTTGCGCCCCCTCAGTGTTATACATGTATACCAACTATATACATACACCTTTACAATCATACTAATTGGGATATTTCGTACCTTTATTTGAAAAAAATATAAAACTAACCACGCATCAAAGTACATCGTTTTAGTTTAACATTTATGAAAGCTGACTATTGAATGTTTGGACTTTCACAACATGTGCTTGTCTGGATGAGTTCAGTCTGAGATGCCCTGCATGACCTCTATCAGTCTCGCACGTGACAATACTAACAAGACTTGCTGCAGTTTGATATCCCATCGATGGAGGAATGCTGCCTTTCCATACATGGTAATTAGCATATTATAACAATGATCACTGTAGTACTTGTGTTGTCCACGTGTTGCGTGTGTGTATGCTTCCTCTGCCAAAGGGCCTGTGTAAGTGTCGAGCCTCATACGCTATCGAAATTTACTTCCATCTGTGTTCACAGAGAAATTAACAAGAAAACACTATGAATTGATAACAGATCTGTAAGCGGGAAAATCAAATGCTCCTTATAAACCATGTGAATGCTTTTGGGGGGTTATGATTTAAGGTTAGATGTGACCAGGCGAGCTTGTCGACACTGTTTGCCCTTGATAATTAACATAACACCGCCATGGTGGATGGTGTATAATATTCCAAGACATGAAAGGAATGTCTTTTACTGCATGTACTAATAATGTGGAGGGTGACTAACATGTCCTTCTGATTTGTTCTAGATACGGTACGTCACGATAAGGTTCTTATTTATCAGTATTATTCGTTAATGTTAATGTCTTCATCTTATGTAAGGGTAATTAAATACCTTGTTTTGCACTTCTATCAGGCCAATAACCTTTGAATAAAACCAAGCTACCTTCAGTGTATCTTCATTTTGTCTTTTGCACCCATTTTAAATGTTGCTCCAATTGAGAGCTGTGAATTTGGGCCGATGAACTACATTCTTTGGAAATATACATGTATACAAATAAACATCCTCATGGTGTGCTAAAACTGTGCTCAGTGTGTACTATAAATTATGTATCCTCCAGCTGATGACTTCCGTCAGCCACTTGTTGAACTTGAAAGTGGTTTCATGTTCTGAAATGGTTTTATTGTTACAGACATTGCAGAAATAATTAGAATGTCTCCCTTCTGTTGCGGGGGAAAATGGAAACTAAATATTCTAAAGCAAATTTCCTTTACAATTGCTTTATGCGGTGGCCCTTTGAAACAAACAAATCAACTGAACAAATGGGTGTACAGGAAAGCTTTATAAAGAAGGGTGGTCGTGTTTGGTTCATTAGATAAGAACCATAAAGGTACAGATCCATGTAATGTAATGAGCAAGTAAAGTAACGTGGTGAAGAAACATTAGTTGAGAGCCTGGCCTACATGCGTTGTCCTTGTATAAACTATGTGCAACTGTGTACATGTTTTATGAGTTACTTGTGGTGTGAAATCCATGTCCTGTACATTTACTGTTTTAGATACACATTACAGTGTATTATCACAACACAATATTAACGAGAACTACGACCTAGCAGGAACTATGTTGAACTCTGATGTCTCTGTTGCAGCTGATATCAGTTCTGTGGAGAAGGACTGGAAGGAGTCGTACAACGAATGGAAAACTCGCTACATCGTGGACTGGAAGCATCAGTTTGATAGCTTCCTGAAGAACTACGAACGCCGATTTCAGACATGCGGAATGCCGTGATTTGAACATACAAGGAGTTGGTTAAATATTCACGATAATATATAATTTAATAATATAAGAATTAAATGTCTCCAGGTAGCGTTGATTCCAGTAATTAGGAAAATAGAAGCAATATGGTATTAGTTGCTAAATGAGGTTTATAACAACATAATTCATCAATATTTAAATATCTGATGTGGAAATTCATTATTTTGAAAGATAGGGATAGTTTTATGGTGATTAGTACTTGCAGCATATGTTTTGCATTTTCCTGTTGATAGTTGTTGCCTTTAAATCAGCTTTTATCGATAGTACTGAAATCACAGATGGCGATCACAGATGGCGGGAGGTGAAGTACTCACCTTCAACTTCAACTGCGACATCTGACTGAGTAGATTCCTATAAGCTGCTGAGCTTAAAGTACCTGAGCCAGTATTTCTCTTGTGTCACCTATACGCAGTTTGTTATAGCATTTAGTTCATTTGTATATAATGCATCACAAATGTTTCCGGGTATTACTGTGTACATACACTGAACATTATTCACGGTATAAACTTTACAAATTTACCATTTTATTCGCATTCTTTATTTCTGAACATTTTTATGCACATGTATCACACGGTTTCTTTCCCGAGTTATTCCTTCATTACCGGCACTTTGCATATCACGTGTTCCATTAACAAGAAACTGCAACCAAAAATGAAATGAACTTTCATTTTCATTTAATGAGCTAAATGAACCTGTTATTGGGTTATATATTGACAGTTAGGAGGTCCCACTGAAGTAGTCACGGAAATAAAAAGAAGCAGACTTTGTTTTCTTGCCAAGTGGAGCGCATTCATTTATTATTGTGTTCGAGAGATAGCGGTTCAACATCAATAGCCCTTTCTGGGGAGTGATTATTGTGACCTTAAATATGGGGAATAAAACACAGGAGCGGCCCACACCAAATATGAACGACTCGAAAAGTAGGGTACCTGAATTTTCAATTTGGATAGGAAGTATTAGCGTCAACAAACGCACAACACAGTAGCCCCATAAACGTGAATGGGATGTCATTCTTGATATTGACGGTTTTCAAGAAGGTCTATAAATCACTACAGACCATTAATTTTGACAATCATCTTGCATCACACAGTTGTTAGTGTTTGTTTCCATCCGATTTTTGGGGGGGTTGAAAATGAAAATTGTACATATGCAAATTTCACGTCATACACCAATCATCTTTCAAGAGCGATTACTGTACAAACAACTATGGTCATAAGGAAGTACGGGTGGTGATGCATTCTCAATACATTCATTATTATCATATCAACATTGATTGACTCCAATATATCTCTAATTTGTTTCAATCTCAAATTAAAAATGAAGTTCCCCTACTTATTTTATTAAAGTATATGTATCAAACAGCACGTCTCTACACGAACGTATGGGTTCAGTTTGGTGGACACCAGCCACCCGTCCAAGCGTGTTATCGTCAAATAAGGTCTAACAAAGACCATGAACTCGTCCTTGAGGCCAGGAAATGGAAGGTTGATTATCAAAATCATTGGAAACTATTCCTTGAAGGCTTTTATGTAATGGGACGGGGTTGTCACTCAGGTGATAACTTGTGACCGCTTGTGTGATTCACCCAGGTGATGGATAGCGCTGTTACCATGCCATCTGCTGACCCGAAATATAGCACCAACAAGCAGTTTGCAAGCAATATTGCGAGAATACCTGACAACTCGCAATGTTCATTTCACACCGTCTGAGAAAAAGAGGTACAACTCCTGGCAACAAGCAGAGGATAAGGAATGCTTTAAAGTATACCACAGATGACCTTGACGCGCCTCATGACTACTCTTGTGGTACCAGGCTGTGACAACCAGACTGCTCCATGTTTCGAGTTTGTCGTCACTCCTGTTAAGTTTGCACAAAATCGGGTAAGCACCACCCAACATAATTGATATGACACGCAAATTTCATCACAATGTTGGACTGACCCCCTCTTGAGCCTCAAAACACAGGTTAGGTAGGGAAATGCATGCTGCAATGATCATGAGTAGCACGTGAAGCATGGTACCCACATTTTTCACATTTCTGAGTGCTTGTCGTTGATTTGAATTTGGGCATTGTCTTTACATCTGACATCGTTTAAGTCACTGTTACTCTATGAAAATGCCTCCACAACGTCAAAGACGTCGTTTGACTGTTGAAGAATTGGCCAGATGCATAGGAATGCTCGAAAATGGTGCAAGACAACGTCACGTTGCAGAGCTATTGGGTGTCAGTCAGAGCGTTGTTTGCAGAGCTTGGAACCGGTATCAAGCTCATGGTTCAGCTTCTCATCGACATGGAGGCGGCAGAGAAAGGTCCACCACGCAGCAAGATGACCGTTTTCTCTTGATTTCAGCACAACGTCATCGGTTTGCAACGGCGACTGCGCTTAGAAATGATCTTCTGAATGCAACTGGAGTTAACATTTCCACGCAAACTGTGCGTAATCGTCTTCATGAAGCTGGTCTTCGTTCCCGGAGAGCCTGTATTCGCATCCCTCTTACTCAGCGACACAGACAAGATCGTTTGAATTGGGCCAGGGCTCATGTGAATTGGAGGGTTGTTGATTGGGCCCCTGTACTTTTCACAGACGAGTCGAGGTTTTGTGTTGACTTCACAGATCGTCGTGCACGAGTGTGGAGAAGGGCAGGAGAACGATATCAGGACGCTAATGTTGCTGAACACGACAGATATGGTGGTGGGTCGTTGATGATTTGGGGAGGAATCAGTCGAGCTGGACGAACTGATCTCCATGTCCTAAGGCGAGGCACGATGACCGGAGTGCGCTACAGGGATGAAGTCCTGGATGGGTACGTGAGACCATATGCTGGTGCTGTTGGTCCTGACTTCATCCTCATGGACGATAATGCACGTCCACATCGTGCTAGGGTGGTGGACGAGTACCTGGAACGTGAGACAATTGTTCGTATGGACTGGCCAGCTCGTTCTCCAGACCTCAACCCTATCGAGCATGTCTGGAATATGCTTCAGGTAGCGATTTCACGTCGTCCTGTACAACCAACCACCCTCCAGGAACTTGAAAATGTTCTGATCCAAGAATGGAACAATCTCTATCTTGCGTCCATTCAAAACCTCGTTGGAAGCATGAGACGACGTTGCCAAGCTGTCATTGGAGCTAACGGAGGCCATACCCGCTATTGACACTTGTTTGTGCAGTGTGAAATGGAATGTGCAGAGTTTAAACAATTTCGTGATCATGAAATTACCATGCTTTTTATGGTACTCTCCCTTTACCTTAGGAGTACGCGATGAAATGTCATGTTTGCCAAATTTTTCTGTCACAATTTCTTGAAGTAAACATTTCTGAACATCAATCACTCTGTGTTGGTTGTCATTCACCTTTGTTGAAAGTTTTACAAGTGCTGAAAAATATGATCCTTATCAAACTTTGAGTAGTATATTATTTACACCCCAGTTGGTACGTCAACAAGGGTCAACTGACACAAACTGATATTATATGGTATTGTCCAGTATTTCACTATAAAACTGAATAAGGCGCTGGAAGTTCATAATCTTTATATTTCCGTGACTGCTTTAGCTGAAGTCAAATCAAGAGAATACCATTTTGAAAAGCATCATCGAGGTGCAAGCGTGTGAACATGGAAGCGATGACCTGCATGGAATGCCATTATGTAATGGAACGGGACTGTCACTCAGGTGATTGATTACCTGTGACCACTTGTAACATTCAGTTTGGTTCTTAAATCATTACGTCACGATTTCTGTAAATAGTAACTGTGAAGAGCCTGATAATACATTTGCACTTTAACAGGAAAGATATCTCTATGAACTGAACCTCTTTGAAAGAAAATAATCTTTATCATCTAAGATACGCTGAACCTGAAGATTCGCACCAGCTGCATGGGCGACGGTATTCAAGCCTCATATCAATCGGAGCTCACTTTGTACAGTGGACAACCTGTCACATTCAGCAGGAATAAAGCATGTTTTACTCAACAGCCGAATGTCCTTTTTATACCATACTGATGCATTGAATTGGGTATTGTAAACAGGCATTTTCAAGCAGCTATTCCGTTTGTGTACATATATTGTAAATGTTTTGAGCGTGTATGTTTGTTAGTAGGGCACATCAGTCGGCATATAGAGTCATAAAGCTCGTTATCGTGTGTGTATATATACTTATATACATACTATCAGACCAATAAATATATACTTTCGAATATGTCACTTTGAATTGTTTCTACTTCTTCCTCAGCTTTCATCCCTAACCATTCCCGCCCAAAACTGAACTAGCTGAGGGTGAATCTTCCCGCCCAAAATTGATCTAGCTGAGGATTTAAATGTTGATATCGCCTCAGTTTGTGTTCTGCCAGTGTATTTGATCTTGCTTGTGTGCCACTATCTGAGGCAGGCGGTGTGTTTACCTACAGATAATATCAACTAACTGCAATACTTATATGTGAGCATTAAAAAGCACCACCCGAATCCATGGGCAATTTTGGTAGTTTTGTTTCAAACAGGCGATCATGCCCAAGCATATTGGAATACACACGTAGCCGTAGTCACGTACAGAGACGGCGTAACGAACCATATCACCAAAATATCTTCCTTGCACCCGAACCCTTTAGTGGCGACTCAGTGATGGTGTGGGCTTGCGTTTCGTATGACTACAAGTTGGATCTCATTACAGTACTTGGGACAGTCAATGATCGGCGTTATCAGCTGATTATTACCCCATTGCCAGTCGTTCGATATCTATGCATGACATTGCCCACTTGCGAAACATTACCATGACCCACAAGGAGCCCTGATATGAACCCCATGAGACATTATTGGAGCTTCAGGTCTTCCTGTTCAGAATCTGTAGGAATTAATGCAGGCGCTCCACGTGAAATGGCATAGATCCGATGTTGAGAACTCAACGCTTGATTTCAAGTACGAGGAGGGGTCTAGCACGGGTGATAACACCAAGTACAGATGTGGCCGCCAGTGTGGATTTACACTATCACAACAATCATTATTTGAGAACTGTTTGACAATCACATTTGTGGGTAGTCATGTTTTTTTCCTGTCAGATTGCAAATAAATGTTACCAAATTTCAGTTCGTTTTGTTTCAGTCAGAGTACGATATAGTAGTTACCACCTCTATACATACGCGGAATGTGTTTGACAATACGTATTGTGTTTCCTTACTTATATTAAAAAAATGGGCGGTGCTTGATCAATAAATATAACGTACCTATTCAAATTTTACTTTAGGTTTGTTCCACAACCCCTGGAAAACTATTTTTATAATTGTTTTAATTGATTGTGTTGCCATTGTGTTTTGGAAGGGGTCTTCTAACCCTGGTTGGTACCGGAAATCCGCTTTCGATTCTCTCGTGTCAGAACCGAAAGACACCACTACTGTCATTCAGCTGTTGATGGGGGTCGAGACCTCTCTTTCATCCTCCAACCTTTGTCACACGTATGTTTCATATTTCAACATCATGTAGCTTCACCAAGAATATCACCTTAACAATGGCTCACATCATGCCTGTGG